ATAATGTGTCACCAGCCTTCCGTCATAGCTGTCACCAAAGTGTGATGCAGTTGTGTGGAAAGGCGGAAAGAGAAATGCAACGGTGTTATTTTCAGGGCGTATCTACAACTGGACTTCCTAGAAAAAAGTTCATAGTGGGAAGTTCCTAAGAGTAAAAACAGTCACACTTTGGTGACAGCTATAACGGAGGCTGATGACACATTATATCCGTGCCAATTTCCATTTTCGCACTCTCGGAGCACATTATTACATTCTTTTAAAACTGTGATAATGTGCTCCGAACCATGTATGTGATGAACAATCACAGTGCAAAGGGCGGTGTGTAGTCCGAGTTAGGTATTTTATTAAAAGGAGGAATTGTTAACACAGCATTAGCCGAATTTTTATGAAAAATGAATTAAATAGTTGTCTAATGACTGTACCTGGGAATTATCGGACCGAGCAGAGGAGCGTTGAAGAAGGAGCAGTACAGTATACTGACAACTCAGTCAACAATTAACCAGCTCTTATCCCTTATGATTAAATACGGAACAAAATAAACAAGGGTGTGGGGAGGCTGCCGAAATTAACTTCACATGTAAACTGTAAAGTCCCGCTCTAACTCCATTGTTTTAAGAGACTACTGTAAAGTCCCGCTCTAACTCCATTGTTTTAAGAGACCACTGTAAAGTCCCGCTCTAACTCCATTGTTTTAAGAGACTACTGTAAAGTCCCGCTCTAACTCCATTGTTTTAAGAGACCACTGTAAAGTCCCGCTCTAACTCCATTGTTTTAAGAGACTACTGTAAAGTCCCGCTCTAACTCCATTGTTTTAAGAGACTACTGTAAAGTCCCGCTCTAACTCCATTGTTTTAAGAGACTACTTCACATGTAAAGTCCCGCTCTAACTCCATTGTTTTAAGAGACCACTGTAAAGTCCCGCTCTAACTCCATTGTTTTAAGAGACCACTGTAAAGTCCCGCTCTAACTCCATTGTTTTAAGAGACTACTGTAAAGTCCCGCTCTAACTCCATTGTTTTAAGAGACTACTTCACATGTAAAGTCCCGCTCTAACTCAATTGTTTTAAGAGACTACTTCACATGTAAAGTCCCGCTCTAACTCCATTGTTTTAAGAGACTACTTCACATGTAAAGTCCCGCTCTAACTCCATTGTTTTAAGAGACTACTTCACATGTAAAGTCCCGCTCTAACTCCATTGTTTTAAGAGACTACTTCACATGTAAAGTCCCGCTCTAACTCCATTGTTTTAAGAGACTACTTCACATGTAAAGTCCCGCTCTAACTCCATTGTTTTAAGAGACCACTGGACGTGTTGAACGTTTTGACGGGCTAGTAAGAACGAGTTTTGCAAAGGATAACGAAGGTAACCAGGTAACCAGGTAACCAGGTAACCAGGTAACCAGGTAACCAGGTAACCAGGTAACCAGGTAACCAGGTAACCAGGTAACCAGGTAACCAGGTAACCAGGTAACCAGGTAACCAGGTAACCAGGTAACCAGGTAACCAGGTAACCAGGTAACCAGGTAACCAGGTAACGAAGGTAACCAGAGCTCGACAAGGTCCAATGGTAATGTGGACATAATTGTAATCTTATACGCATCACGGCATCATGCTATACCAAGAAGTCCAAGTGTCAACAATAGCAAAATCCTTGAACGGAAAGATGTCAGTTCATCGCCAATTTGGCCCCGTCGAGTTTGCAACTGTTGGGAAGTTGGCATAAAAACGTCAATATGGCACCGAGAGTTGCTGGAGTTGGGTATTCTATGTAAGTTAATTAAAGGCTAAAGTTTAAAATCAAAGTACCACAGGTGGGGTATAACACTCGAGGCGGAGTAATGCCGGTATTTTGGCTAAACTATCAGAATAGCATAGGGGTTGTGGTATGTTAAAAGTGAGACGCTAGGTCTATCTTCCGGGAGAAATCTGCGTGAAAATAACAAACCAATTCCCTATTCAATATAGGTTTGTACACTCCAAAACAAGACAGCCTCTCAACTGGATGATTCTGTTCGTGTAATTAAAAGTTAAAAAGTTACAAATTGCAGGTCGACCACATCGAATATGGGTCACACTAAGGAAGGGGTGGAGAATCAACAAATAAACTCGTTATTGGGAAACAACGTTAACATTCTAATCGCCAAACTTTAATTGTTATACAGTTCTCGTTACTAATGTATTACTACTCACTATTCCATGTTAATATAAATGTTACGGTTGGTATATTGTAACACAGCTGAGGGTTACAACCCTTTCTGTTTTGAAACTAGATACGATCAATAACTAGATATATCGGGAGAGAGATATGAATAACGTACCACGCTATCCCACATTGTGAGTGCAATTCATCGAAAAAGTATGATAAACATGGACAATATTTGACAAATTCTCTCACAAAAAACTGTGCATAAAAATACTGCACAGTAAGGGAAGCACTCAAATAATGAGCAGTTAATTGTAAGATGATCGTTTTTATGGGGTTAAATTTCGGGGAAACAATTTTGAGGATGATATGACTACATATTAGAAAAATAGAGAAAACTTAATCTTTGAATTCGATTTCGAACTAAAAGGCTAATTCACACGTCGGGAAGGAAGAACATGAAACTAAAATTGAAAAATGTTTACTATAATTTAGTTCTGGCCAGGCTCCAGTAAAGGTGGTGTTATACAGAAAAAGGAGACCACTACGACAGGAGTATTAGAAGTGGGATGGAAGCTGTGGTAAGTTCCGATGAGTTTATAATTTAGTAGCACTGTTGTTGTGATTCCTGAAATAAGGACATCAGCACAAATTTAAACTAGATCTACATCCGACACAAAATTAGGCAAGGACTTGAAAAGATTCATTAAAGCCATGTTGCTATTAAAACTATATCGCCGAACAGAAAATAGGTATCAAATTGCAACACGGCGTTAGACTAATGACTAATGCGCCAGCTTATGAGCTTAGACCATGACAATAGCTGGACAGTTTCCGAGCATTTCGCATTGATACGTTAATACAAATCAATCTCTTTAACAATGAATTTTAATCTTTCGGTACCAAACAAAGCCATGGCAGAAATTCACTAGCAGACCATTTTTATTCTCCCCAAATACGGTACAAAATTGGGATAACTTGTCCACACAATAGTCTGACGGTTAAGCCTGGATAACTTTGTCACTTTTTGGTGAACACTGGTTAAGTGATGATCCACTGTCACCATGGATCACTACTCAGTAGTGGTGAAAGTGGTCCACTTATACCGAGTGCGGTCCACTTTTGATCACCTTCTCCTTCCAAATTGATATAACCAAAGTGACATGTAAACAGCAGATGGTTAACAAGTTATTAGGCTAGTGTACAGAACCTGTCTGGTGTTTAAAGTAGAACCACAAACTCTTATCTACAATCTTAAAGTACTGAGAGCACTAGTCCCAAAGGAGTGCGTGTGTGACAGTGAAATGTGTCACGTGATATCAATAACAACAAGGAGGAGACCAAATGATAACCAGAGAAGCATGAATACCTTACTCGGGAATATTATAGCGGGTTAATTTATGACTGGGAAAATTAATGACCGGGAAAAATATGGCGGACTTTCCCAAAACCCGCCAAATTATCCCGGTCATGTATTTACCGGTGGCCGACCTATCAAGTTTTTTTTCAGAAGTCAACAAATTTTCAACCGAAATTTCTGTTTTTGTTACTTGTTAAAGAAGTTATTTCAATTTACAGTTATTGATATTACTCAGAAATATAAAAAAAAGACACGTCTATTTAAAGGAAAATAAATCTAAGCAATAATAAGTCAAATCTTCATTAAAGCGTATTCTCATTCACATTATCGCTAATGTCCCCTGGCCTCCATTATCATTATTGATATCCCCCTGAGCTGCTGACCGTCAAATTCGAAATTGTATTGTTGTCTTAACAAGACTTTCATTTTGTCCGCTAATGGGGCTACTGCTCTGAAGGTCAGCCGGAGCTTAATTTCCTGCCCACCGCTTGGTATTGGGGAACGTCTTGGCTTTGCATCTTCAACTGCTCCAGTAATCAATCCACCGTGGACCATGAAATAGTGGCACAGTTTACTCACTTCTAGCGGGATGTGGCCACAAGTTACTTTAACGGGAAAAACTCCCTCTTTCTTTAGTCTACACACTGCACACGAGAAGCGATCAATCTTTAGAGACATTATTATTATAATATATATTATTATTATTTTCGTTTTCTTCTATAACATATAAATTGTTTTCTTCTCTACGATTCACTGATTCATGGGCAAGAGAAGTGAGAATCACGGTCCACCCTGAAATCTGATTTCTATAACAAAATTGTGATTTTTATAACGAAATTATGGTAGCAACCGCCAATAAAGTTACAGCCCTCCATCCACTGCTTCAAAAGTCTTCTCTAGCACATATGAGACTTCAGGTAAAATATGATGATCACCACCCCCTTGGAACCCCATAATCTGAGTCGGCGGGTTTTTTTATGACTGGTAAAATTTTTGACCGGGAAAAATATGGCGGAATCTTTCAAAACCCACCACTTTATCCCGGTTATAATATTCCCGAGTAAGGTAACCAAAATAAGCATGAATTGGATCTGGTTAAGCTAAAAGTAAACCTCCAAAAGTTAAATTGGAGGGTAATATGTTAAAATTGTGAACCCTGTCAAGGGATTAATGGCAGGAAGGGGAACCCTGTCAAGGGATCAAGGGCAGACATAGCTGGCACGCCAGCTATGTCTGCGGAATGCTATCTTTCAAAGCTTATCTTTAAACAAAAACTGCGCACCAAATTAATTGTTGGCAGGAAAGTTACTAATTGGACGCCCGTCAACAGAAGATGAATTTCTGTTAAAAACATAACGATACTTAGATACTTATTGTGGTTGTACGAGCTCAGGTCAACTTCATGAAAGTGACAGTGTTTGTTGTAGTGATGTGTCTAATCGGACAGAAACTGAACAGAACCCTGGCAAGTAGGAACACATAGTTTAAACACTTACTTCGCTGAGCTGGGACAGTCGCTGGAAACTTTGGTAGATTGGTAGGAGCCCATACTCCCGCTTTGATTAGAACACAGCAACTTTACCTACAACAGATTGGATTGATGCTATTTGCAGGTTCACGATATATATTGGTCACAGAACATGCAGCTCTGATATCAACAAACATTTTAAGAGTCGCCAGAGTTAGACACTAGACCGCTGGGTTATTTAATCATGCTCATTGGTTCGCCTTTTGGCAAACAATAACAATATCGCCCATATATTTTATTAGTCATAAAGGCGCGATGTAAGCAAACCATTCTGCTCAAAACAAATTTCACTGCATAAGATAGGCGAGTATGACTGATGTGATATAAAGACTGTATGCCTGAACTTGTGATGGAGTTGAAGGTTTAGGGAGGCCATTGTTTGTAATTGGTCACGTGTTGTTTAGATAAAGCTCAGATTAGCATTTAGCTTTGACACTATTCTGTGAAACGTGTGTGGCAAGATGGTCCACAATAGATATTATGCAGTGCACTTACACAATGCGCCACGTATTGAGGGATAAAATATATAATTGTTATGATATAAAATATATAATTGTTATGAGATAAAATATATAATTGCTACCACTATTCAGTCCTCTTACCATACAAGAACAAGACTTGATATTGAACATAACCCACCTGTTTAGGAAACTCCTCGCAGCTCGTCACTGGAATTGTAATCTAGACATTGTCTCACATCTTCTTTGGGCTGAATTTTAAATCCAAGTTGTCCGTACCAGCCACAACAATCACATGCTATACACCGCTACAAGAATAAAGACATTAGTTGTCACCAACGAGACAACGATAGTAACATGAATAGTCAATAACTTGCAGATAATAGCAGGACAGGTACAAAATGAGAGAGTGTTCGAGTAAATATAAGAAAATCAGGGGGGATTGGTACCCCCACCTGCTGCACAATACACTTGGAGCTTAATGAGGGTTAGTGGTAACAGCTTCCTCAATATACATCTTATACATGTCTAGATCGGAGTTCAGTAGCCGCCGGCCTCAGAGCTGTTCCAGCTGTTTTCTACATGCAAAGCATTGCACACAATCGCACTGAATAATGGAGCCAGGTTGCTATGGTGATTAAGGCACGACACATGGTACAGCCGTGTAACACTATGGACCTGGACCAGCACGTAAACTTCATTATCTTCCACAATAAACCGCGGCACAGCCACTAAACAGCCACCCTCATTTAATTCCAATGGTACAGTTAATATTTTATCCAGAGCGGTTGTATATTGTTGTGTTAAGAGCCGTGATACAGGCCACAGGGCACATGCGGATTGCGGATGGCACTTGAATGCTGGACCCCATTGTTCATTATGTGATTGCTAGGGGAGCATATATAAACCTGATAGCTTATTGAAACTTTAGTAGTTCTCACAATAAATTAGTTTTACAGATCTGTGTATACCACTATAATGAGAAAAATTTCACTGAGGTGACAATATAATATTGCACTATAATTATACTGTATGGTAATAATATATTGCTATGTACAGCTTCCACCCAGTACCTATTTACAAAGTGTTTCGACGAATATTTAAAGGGGGTTAAGAAATCAAATTAGAATTATAATTATAATTAGAAAAAAATTTACACAATAAAATAAGAATACCGAATAATTCAATTTGTTCGATCATCAAATGGCTCACATGGTCCCTTTTCAGCCTTATTTGGGTAATTTTCATGATTCAAATTGTATTTTAGCGATAGCAATGAGGACGGTAAACAGTATCTTATTTCAAGGGAGGACTATGACAGAATTTGATCAATTTATTGGATACGCATAAAATAACAAAACAAGGGTTGGCGATCAACAGAATATAAATTCAGATGTTAAGAAAAATGTTGCCTAAAATTTCATCTCTAACTTAATTACTGAAAAGAGCCACATAATGATATCCCATCTTAACTTAAATCCAATGATGATTTTACTTAGCTAGTAATCTAAATACACTTCAAATGAATAAACATACGTGAAATTAAAGAAGGACGATGTAAATACAGCCAATGTAGATACAATGTATAATTAATAATTCTCAATAGGTTGAGGTGAACAGTGAGTAGATATACTATATTCACGATTTTCCTTTCACCAGATCTTTCTCCAGATATTCAGCTTCCAGTACTTCAATCTAACCGTGTCTTGTGCCATCCACGTTGAACTCACTTATTGGTGATCAGTGTAAAAAAATTCGGTTAAACAGTGAAATTTGGGTCAAGAAAAGCTGGTACCTAAAATTTTCCTACCAGTAGGACATTTTTCATAGTTTTACTTTTATCACAGCGTTCTCCGGATATTCAGCTTCTAGTACCTCGATCGTGACTTGTGTCACTCACACTGACCTCACTGATTGGTCAGTGATCAAAAATTCTATCAAAACTGTGAAATTTTGGTTAAGGAAATGGCAGAAAAGCTTATATCTAAATTCCTTAAAAATATTCCAAAACGTCCCCTTCTATTCCGATGATTTTCCGTTTGTCAACACTTTCTAAGGCAATCTAGCTTTTAGTACTTCAATCGTGGCTTGTGCCATCCACAATTAACTCACTTATTGGTCATTGTAGAAAAATTCAGTCAAACCGTGAAATTTGGGTTTTAAAAAGCTGGTATCTAAAAATGTCCTATTGGTAGGACATTTTCATGATTTTCCTTTCTCTGGATATTCAGCTACTACGTTTTTGTACCTAAATTACACAAGCGCTACTTGCCAGATAGAGTATCGACACAAATGCATGAGCACTTGTGCGGTTCACTTATGCAACACTCATATTGACATCAGGCAATGGTTCAGTTCAATTATGGTAAGGACACAGCCTGTCAAAAACCCTTTTCACATGATCCGTCGACACCGCCTGAAGGTGACTGCATAAAGTGTATCTAAAAGTGTATAGCGAACATATTTAACAATTTTATAATTAATAATGACTGCAACCTATAGTAACAACTATAAACAGAACCCCTAATGTCTACTAATATATAACAAATTTCTTCTAGTTCTTATATGAGCCTTGTCTTTAAAAACCTAACTGAACTAGCGTTTCGGTGTGTGCAAAAGCTTTCAGGCACGCGCATTCCTTGCCCTGTTAGTTACCTGTCCTTCCAAACCCAAACTAGCAGTCATTAGTCAAGGACAAAAAGTCATACACCAAATGGGCATTATATTTTATGAATTGTTTTACATCTTTTTATTCTGTAAAATGTGCTAAAATTAAATTTCTTGTTTCATTGAAAAAAATATATAATAATAATAATGTATTGCGAGCAGCTATGACTTAAATATCGCATGACAATCATATAACTTAAAACTTAAATTTTACTGGAATATAAGGAAAACAAAATTAATGTCAGACCTGTTGCCACTCCCTGGGAGTAGCTTCAGCTCTGGTGACGTCACAAAATCTCCTAGTCGGCATACGACACGTAGGGACTACGGGTGGAAGATGAATAATTGATATTCCAACAGCATCTTGTTCCCTGCATTGTGCTGATTCCGGGAAGCATTTTGTTTACGCTCTCATCATTCTGTAGGATGAGATATCGTTCATTTAAAATTGGGTAATTATAGGCCTGTCAAGGATTTCAGCCTAATTAAGAGCTGATCAATTGCAGCTAGTTGTGCCATATAAGGGATAACTGAGGTCACGTGACATTCAGTCCTATCACGTGACCGCTAATCCTATCACGTGACCTTGATTCGTAAAGCCTCGGGCACGTGATCACATTCGTAACGTGTCGTATGCCGACTAGGAGATTTTGTGACGTCACCAGAGCTGAAGCTACTTGATCAGGCCTTATATGGAATAATATCGTGTATCGGGTGTAATTGGGCCCAATTAGAGCAGCTGAGCGCTCAATTATAGCAGCATCTGGTACCACCTTCTCATGAAACCCAGCAGACAGCTGGCCCAGAGAATCGAAATTAGAAGGATTTTTTATTGATGGAAATCGAAGCGGAAACCTTGTAACCCTATGTTTTCGATGACGCCGAACAAGATTAAACAGGTTATAATTGTCCTACTATCGTGTAAATTGCTCTAAAACGTGATTGAAATTGTAATGATGCTATCAATTGTAATACAGTTTTTACATTAAGCTGAACGGCTGGCATTCCTGGGCCGCACTCATCCCAGATTGTCATTCCGCCGCAGCTTCAATTTTTCTGAATATTACAGCCTGGGGTCCCCAGGTAACGACTGGAACCACTATATCTGCCTAATATCACTTATTGTCAATAACGAAGCCTGTGATCCGCACATCAGTCATTGAATGGGCTTGAATTGAACGTCGTGTTATTACTATAAAAAATATCATAGTATCGGGTAAATTTTTTCAAAATGCACTTGAATGTCATCAATTTGATTAAGTTATCATAAGTTGAATAGCTGGTGCATTTACAGTGCTACGTTTTCAATTATTCTACGAACACTTGGAATTAAAATCTATTTATATATATATTGCATTGTTTAATACTTATAATCAAGATTGCTAAGTTCAGTGTGTGGACGAAGTATAGCGATGGAATCACTAACATATTTATGACTGTTTGATATTTCTTTGCTGCAGTCTGCATATCATCCAGAGAAAGCTAATTTTAAAGAAGTAGTCTCGAAATTTTCGGGAATAAACTCAATATTGTGAAACATCATACAAAATATTATATAACGAGTGTTCTCTTTTAATAAATCATTTCATTAGTTTTTTGAACTTCCTCTGTTTTCCTGGATTTTGTTGCCTCTCCTCAGAGACACTTTAATACTTTCAACACTACTATATAACAAATAATTTGAGGATGTAGATCGAGCCTTCAAGCCGCAATCAATGTCTGAGTAAAAGAATGATCACTGGGGGATGATGCGAAGGTGTCCAAAAGGATGTTGCTGCCGGCGATGATGCTCCAACTGAAGATGAGTAGATTATGAAATTCCACATCACAACACATAAAACCACCATCCTCTCATAAACTGCCCCTCCCTAAAAGCTCCTGACATTGATTGCTGGCTTCTGGCTGGTCTCTTCCTTAAATTATTTGTTGTGTGTAAAGTGCTGTTGATTAGTTCCTGATTAGTAAACTTTATTTATGTATCTTTGTCTCGATTTATTGGATAGTTATTATATAATACAAGTTTCTTACCCAAATTCAAACGAATTACAATACATTAACCTTACATAACTTGTATTATTGTATAACCTTAACCAAATTATTTGATTATTGTGGCTTGTTTTACAGTAAATCCCTTTGTGGCAAGCTCGTCGACTACAATTGCTATTTCTTCAACCAGCTTTCCACAATGTCTCCTTACCCAGGAATCCCACAATTCCCTTTACCCAACCCCAGTCTGCATTATAGTCAAGCTCACCCTCAAACCCATAAAGCAATTCCAAACGATACAATATATGCTTCATCAAACCATTTAATCTAATCAACAACATCCACCACCTCAACTACCCGACTATTCACCCTTTAAGCAACTTATTGTTAATATATCATGTTTCAATCGAAATCAATTCTTCTTTATGGTATATCTAATGAAAAAACTAGTTATTATACAGTTTTAAGTAATCAATGTTCCCCTTTTTCCATTATAAATCAGACGTCCACCCATGATCTACTCATTTCAGGTGCAGCTAATTCGCCGGTGGCAGCCCAGAGGGCACTCAGCACATCCCCGTGATCAATCCACAGTCATGAAGAGAATTCCAACACCACCACCACAAAACAGACGCTCGCCCAGAAACAACTCTCCTGCAGCATCTGTTAAGGCTAAGGCTACTCCACCTCATTCCCCTAAAGTGACTAATCCTCTTCACAGAAAGAGCCCCCTCACAAGCAAGGCTAATCAGAAGAACCCTGCAGCCAACATCTCAGGACGGCGAAGATCAAACAGTCTGCCAACTGAAAAGCTGCTTACTGTTGCTTCACCGGGACCATCAACATTACAGCCACCTACATCTCTGACCCTAAAAATTAGTCCAAACCTCATAATAGACCCTGGTGGCCTAAGAGATAGTCCTCATAGCCCTATGAGCCCTATTTACAAACCGTTCCCACCCTTCAATACAGAAGAAGAAGAAAAAGATCAAGGAAGTCCAAAGCAACGTGCCATTAAAGGTAACTGCCCCTGTCGAGCAAGCTCTGACGGCAAAGAATGGCTTCTCAAATGTTGCAGATGCTCTCAGCATTGGCACGCCTCCTGCAGCAACCTCAAGGGAGCAAACCAGATTACAAGTGGCTCCCCACAACAGATTGGTCTTGATGCCATCCTTCAGTACTGGGAATGTCCATGGTGCTTCACATCAATCCATCCCAAGCCAAACAGCAGCACCGCGTCTAAATTGGATGAAGCTCTCAAGTTTAGCGTTGACTACAGCAAAAACATCCAAGCTGTATCTGATGCCATCTCGAGTGCTGTATCCAACAGCATACCCACCGTGGAGATATCTTCACTTGAGTCAAGACTGTCGCAACTTAGTGAAGAGATTTACTCCTTCCAAAAATCCAGAAGCCCTCAAATGGGCCCTCCAGCAGCAGTCAAACAAGAGATGAGGTCAACAGTAGCCCTCCCCAAATGTGTAATGCCGCCGATTAAGGACTACCAAGTAGACATCCTAGACAAAAATCTGCTTGATGAGGTCACCAGTTTTCTGACTGAGTGCAAAGAAACTGGTAAGTTCAGCCAGATGAACGGAAGGTCAGTCCTTAAATATGGAGAAAGCTACACATACTCTGGAGACACAAACGCCCCCTCCTCTCCAGCCATCCCACCACCATTAGCAGCTGCTATTGATAGAGTCACCTCCCAGTGCAAACTTACACACAAGCCTAACTCTGTGCTCATAAACTATTTCCCTCCTAGCACTGGGGTTGAGGAAAGCATGTTACCCTTCCACTGTGACGATGAGCAAGAAATACTTGCTGACTCCGAAATAGCCACAATTTCAATAGGAGAAGTAAGAAAGATAAGCTTTGTACCTGTCCATGAAGGCCATTCACCTACAAAAATGACTGAAATGTCCCTGGAATCCAACTCGGCCTATATTATGACTCGTTCCTCACAAGCTTGGTTCAAGCATGGAATCAAGGCCACCCAAAAAACTGAAGTCAACCCGGCCATGTACGGACGATTTTCCATTACCCTTAGAGCCATTAACAACAAATTCAAAAGAAGCACGCTCATTATGGGAGATTCGAACACCAAAACAATCAAGTTTGGGTGTGGTGCTGGTACTATGGGCCAGTCTTTCCCTGGTGAAAGAGTCAAGGCAGGTAAAGTCAGTTTGATTGACCCTTGTCGCTGCATTGGGTACAGCAACGTTGTTATCGTTTGTGGTACCAATGACCTCCGGGTAGAAAACCTTAGAGGAGAGAATGAAATCCATCAGCTGGTTGACGTTCTCCACTTGAAGATTCAACAGATAAGAAAGCTCTGCCCAAGTATCAAAATATTTGTCGCAGCAGTCCTCCCATCAAGATTGCCTCAAATGAACAAAAACATTATGACCTTCAATCGGCTTGTTGGAGAAATGTTAAGTGCCAACTTCAACCAGAGTGTGTGGCACCTTGGAGTTGGCCACTTCTTAGATAGTAGGGGACTCCTTGCCACCAACCTGACCAGAGGTGGTGATGATATTCATTTAGGAGTTTATGGTATTACCAAATTTGTGAGATGTGTGAAGCATTGGGTGTATGTGAGAGAGAGGCAAGAGCGGACAAGACGTGGAAAACACAACCAGTCAGTGGGGTCTAACAACCCCACTTAGTAAAAATGATTATGAAAATGATTAAAGATGTGTGTGAGCCATGTAGTAGATCTATTAACATCGGACAACCTTTACTAGAGTGTGAAAACTGTAATAATGCCATCCATACTAAGTGTTTCAAATCAGCTAAATACTCATGCAAAAATGGACTATGGATGTGCTGCAAGTGTGCCAGTTCTGCAGAGGAACGGTACTGCCCATTTCCATCTGATGAGGAATCTATAGGTTCTGATAGATTCTATGATAATAGAAACCAGGAAGATGCCTTAATTGCATCATATGCCCTTGTACTTGAACGTTGCCGTCGCTACTCTAAACTCGAGTTCTTAAATGCAATCAAGCAGCTCAATTCCTCAAAAAAATCTATGTTATCAACTTTATTCTACAATATAGATGGAAACGCATCTAACTTTGATAGCTTCCTAATTGAACTCAAAAGTATAGGGCACTCGTTTGATATGATTGGTCTTGCTGAAACCAATACTGATCCTGCACAGCAGGGCCTGTACCAAATTCCATCATACACAGGATTCTATCAAGAAACATTGGCAGGTAAGAAAAAAGGCACAGGTGTTGCACTCTATGTATCTGACCATTTAAATACGGTGGTCTTAGAAAACGTATCACACTGTACTACAAATATTGAGAGCCTCTTTGTTGAAACCACAGATAGTGCAGGCAGCAAAATTGTTCATGGAGTCATTTACCGACCCCCTAATGGCTGCTTTGATAGCTTTTGTGAAACCCTGGAACTACTTGCAAAGCAGCTAAATGGGAAAACTGTCAATTTGTTGGGAGACTTTAACTCAAACATACTTAATATTTCTACCAGTTCCCAGCTCTTTGAGGATACTTTATACAGAAACGGCTTTTACCCGACTATCTCCATTGCAACACATTTTCGTCAAAACTGTAAAAGTTCCTGCATCGATAACATTTTAACAAATAAAATTGAGAATATAGTCTTATCAGGTGTTATTGAAGAACGGCTTGGTGAGCATGCCCCTATATTTACCTTCACTTCAGTAGAGACCCCTCGCAGTACAGAGCCTCAGAAACATGTCCGCTATTATGATTACTCAAGTTCCAAATTGAAAAGCTTTGTAACTGAACTTGAGGTAAAGGTAAACCAGCTCACTCCTTCAACAAAATTTGATGAGTTTACGGCATGTTTTGACCAGACACTTGACAAACACTGCAAACTGGAGGTACCGAAAGTGACAAAAAGAACTCCCAAACTTAACCCATGGATTACAGACAGTATCATCCAGTCTGTAGAAAGAAAGCATGAACTACGTAAGGAGTGGTCTGACACCGTTACCAATAAGAACCCTGGTGGTAATATCTTGCTATACCAAGTATTTAGCGATTATCGTAGGATGCTCAAAGCTATCATTAAAGCTGCCAAACGTTGGCATTACTGTAACGAAATTCTAAACAACTGTGAAAACAGCAAGAAAACTTGGCAAATTATTAACGAACTCAGAGGCAAAAAGAAGAGGCAAACCAAGCCCCCATTTATCATTGATAACCAAAGAATAGTTGATAGAAGAGCAATTGCTAATGGATTCAATGCTTGGTTTGTCTCTATTGCACCAAAGCTGAATGAGACACTGAATAATCTATCTAATGGCCTGCCTATATTACCCATGAAAACTTTCTATGACTTCCTGAACCCAAGAAATGAAAAAAATATTAGGTTAGAAGATTGCTCCTCGAACGAAATATTGAAAATCATAAGAGAGTTCGAAAATGGTAAAGCCAGTGACATTCCCATAAGTGTAATAAAAAAGTCATCTCATGTAATTGCACCTGTATTATCGAACTACTTCAATATCCTTATGACCCAAGGTATATTTCCTGATGTCCTGAAAACTGGTAAAATAACACCTGTATATAAGAGAGGTAACCCAGAAGAAATCGAGAACTACCGTCCTATCTCCACACTGTCCGTCTTCGGTAAGATCTTTGAAAAGCTCATATATTCTAGAATATACGGATTTGTTAGCTCCCAGGGAGTAATATCGAAGACACAGTTTGGATTTAGGAAATCTCACTCTACATCTCATGCAGTCAATTACTCTGTAGATTTAATTACGAAATCTCTTAAACTTAAGAATCATGTTTTAGGAATATTCATTGACCTTAGCAAAGCTTTTGACACCATCGATCATTCAACACTTCTTATAAAATTAGAGGGATGTGGAGTGAGAGGAGTTGCAAATAACCTCATAAAAAGCTACTTAACAAACAGACAACAATACACTGAAGTTGTAGGAGAAAAATCAGATACCCTATCTATTCAATTTGGTGTCCCACAGGGTTCAATTCTTGGACCTCTCCTATTTCTTCTTTATATGAACGACATCACAAACAGTTCTAAACTAGGATCATTTGTTACCTTTGCTGATGATACTAATATATTTGTTGTCGGCAAAACAAAACGT